TCTTCAAAAGTCTGGACCCTGGAACCATAAATCCGGACACTCGTACATGTGTTGCGGCAGGCATTGCGACACTATTGTTCTGCAGTCTGCAAGCCACCCGCTCAGTTGGTCAGCCTCAGTGTGAAATATCGTGGAAGAATGTGACGCTGGTTGCGCAGTCAGTGGCTGAAGGAATAGCTTGGCGTTTCTAGCACCTGGGACTGGTTGTTGATGTGCGTCGCTGCGGGTGCTCCCAACCACGGACCATGGATCCATGGCCGCTACCGGGCCAATATTGGTCCCCGAGAACACTAGTATGTTTGGTTGGAAGCCGGACCGTATGCTACGTCGGACGGATGGTGGGATTTGCGTGTGGCGGGATGTGGGAGTCTGGCCCTTGAGGAAGAGCGGCAGTTTCGGTTTGTGTTACGTGAATCCGAGCCACCCGCAGGCTTCCCTGGCGGTCGAACTGCAACTCCGAACAACGCACCGGAAAGCAGTTTGTGCCCGAGCAACGCGGTCAAGGAGAGTAATGTGGTAGACTGTGGAGGCTCGCATTTTGGAGATATGTCGTCGGATTAAGGACTGTTTATTAATCGTTAGCAGTGGAAGCTAAGTTTCCGTCAGGCTCACGCAGACCCTCACGCTGACGCTCCCTTCTGTGAGGGACATATTCGCCTTGGAGCTGGAGCTGCCAGCCATTTCCATCGTTAGCTGTTAGTGCTTACTCGATGGCCTCACCGAAGCAGCTGACCCTTCCAACAATTCGATGCACGCCTTCCCTGACCCTGTCCGGATGGACGCGTCCCGCGCATTCTTTGCTTGGGACATCCTGTGCTCCCCGGAAACCCCTGTCGTCGAATGGCACTCTGTGGCAAGGACTAGGCCGTGCGGGGGCCGACAACCAGGTTCCGCGCCTCCCACAGTGTGTGTGGTAAGTCTCTCGCATGTCAAGATTTCCTGGCAAATATATGCAGGGCGGAGAGGTAACGAGAGGAGGAAAGTAGTGCCATGATGCGCTGCCAATTTTGTCGTCGATTCGCTTGGTTTTCGTCTTGGCGGACTTGCTTTGGCAATAAAGTTGAGAGGTGAGTGGGTGGAGCGGCGCGAATGAAGAGCCCGACGACAAGAAGTTACCCCACAATTCTCCACCGTCCCCGCCTTAATTTCCATTCGCGCCCGATGTGTGCCTTGGCCTGTGAATGGATAGCATGCGGCAATGATTAAAAGAACATTGATGAAAAGGGCTCGGGGCCAATGAACAGGTATCTCATGATGCGCGGGAGAAAATTGTAGCATACATTGAAACGCAAAAGACGAAAGTTGCAAAAACAAAAGACTCGGCTGTAATCGAATCCCAGGCCTCTTAGAGGAACACTGCAGCTATGCTAATGACACCGAATATTATCAAAAACTGACCTCTAGAAATTGCCGCATAACCTTCTTGCCCAGGCACTTAAGGGGTCCAAACCTTCAGAGTGGGAACTATCGGGCTGAACAGGACTGTATCTTTCAGCCTTTCAAACCATATCGCTACGACCAGCCGAACAACATCTAATCCACTCTTGCCACGTCGCTGCTCGAATCTGTAGGAAACACGTAAAGCCTTTACTACGTTTTAGTATTCGTCGAGCAGCACAACGTCCCCGACCTCCTCGTCCCCGTCTTCTTCAGTCTCGCTGCTGATCCTATTACTTGCCTCAGCTTCGTCAATCGCGCTACCTCCATGCGCAAGACTTAAGAGGCAGCCGTCTTTGAAATACTCGCCACCATGTCATCTCTGATATCACAGGCATGAAAAGCTCTGCCAAAGCGACTCGGAACTCCAGAAATCTCGCGATACGTGGGATAGCGCAGTGATCTCATTTCTAGGTGACACCCATGAGATCCCCCTTTCTGCCTGTCTGCTATAAACCGTGAACGTCAGATCCGCCTCTCACTTGGTCCAGGCCCTCACCCCCATCTTTCCACTGGCAACGAGGGACGACGATACCTTAGCCTTATTTCTGCTTAAAATGCCCCACCGGGCTTGGGGTAGAAGATCACGGTGCGCGTGTTGTGTGAGGGTAGGGTAGGGTAAGGTCGAAGGCGGTAGAAGAGCTGGAACCGAAAGGTACCTGAGATGGAAGGGTTGAGGGGCAGACCTTAACATTTGTGCCCAGCGAGAAAATTCGAGCGCCACGGACGAGACACAGTGACCTTGCGCAGTGCACTGTATATCCGGGTAGGTACTGTACCCGATTTCGAGAACCCATTGCACCTATAACCAAGTTCCCCTTTGGCAGGAGCGAAGTTCGCCCACACGAGAGTTGACGACAGCAGGGCCGCAGAGCCACACTCCCCAACCAACCACGATATGCCACCCGTGTTTCGGGGTGGAAGGATTATGCATGCAACCAACTCAGCCAATGCCGTGCGTCGTTCTTCTTGAGGCAGGTGCACTCCACACCACGCCACGTAAGGATGGTGCACTTGCGTCGTTAAAAAAAGGTTACACAACAAACTCGCCGAGGAACTCGCCTTCTTTGCTTAAAAATACCGACAGCCTAGTAACCCTCATCCTCAAATACCTTGGTGGTAACGGGGACAGTAAATGCTCCAGACGAGATTCCCAGCGAGCGTCAACAAAACAGCCTCGGCATAGGCCCTTGTATCTTTCGAAAGCGCCTTGTTATTCCTCGTTCTCTCCACAATGCCACAATACTCTTCCGTGTAATCTCTGACAGCTTGACAACAGATTGCCTTGGCCTCCTCCTCCCCCACGCCCTTTTCTTTCATGATGACCCAGATAGCGTTGAAGACATAATCTTGGCCCTGACGCTCCGCGGCTCGCCGCTCCTTTTCCCACGAATACAGGTCGTTCGTCAAGCCCATTGCGGCATAAGCAGGCCGCGCTAGCTCCATGCAAAGACTGTGTTCCTCGTCTGGAATCGTGAGTCCCATGCCGAACGTGAGCGTGCCGAACCAAACTCTGGATGATGACGCCTTCTGGGTCAGTTGTTTGTCATATATATGCAATCGTGAGGGAGGGAGCTAGCAACTCACAACTCTCCGCAATCGGTCACGCGGGCCGGGATATACTCGAGCAACGTTGCGAATGGCTTCGTCCTCGTCTTTGAGGCAAGCTGCACAAACCTAGCCCAGGCTTTCATCGTCGTCTTTGCTCGGGACGGGTCAATGGCTTTCATTTCGGCCAAAATCTGGACTTGTAGCCGCTGTTCAGGACGGACTTTTTCTAGAACGGCCTGTATCGCGTCATCTTCAACGCCGGCAATGAACATCTCGAGCAGCCCAGGCCCTCTCTCGTCAGGACGGAGCTTCCAGTCGAGGGTTTCCATCTTGTCTAGACTGGTCAGCGATTGTGAAAACTCGAGTGTGCTGGAATGCCATTCTTTTTGTTTGACGCACCATCATAGAGAAAAGCATACTCGTTTGCGTACGAGATAATCTCCAGCCTCTCCGGGAGACACTCTGGAACAGCAATCCGCATGAAGCTGTACGGTTCCGCAAGGCCTCCGTGGTACCCGTTGATGGGAGAAACCTGTTCGGACCAGTCCCGCTGGGCGCGGAGGGAGCCGATAACTTCACTGAAGGGGTCCTTGTGCCGTCGTAGGGTGGTGATGCTGTTGGAAATCAGTCCATCTGTCTTGTAGACACGCGGGTCGATTGCCTCTGAGTATTGGTACTCCATGTTTGGATGACGCTTGTTGAAACTTCTCGGGAATAATATCTCACACAGGGGGAGAGAGTAAAGAAAAGTGATCTCATTCATGGGAGATATTACTCCGGTATTTGTATGAAGGCTCAGTGACTACAAATGTGGGGCATGAGTTTTGCTCACTTGAACTCCTCACAGGCATATTTGTCCGACAATAGGTCCAACTGGATATCAAAAAGCCCGGGAGTTACTTGTCTGGTTCCCCTTACCGTCTGTCGTTCCGAAACCGGTATACCGGGCCACATCTTAGCAACAACCTCTACCTTGACCTCGGCAGTGGCGGACCGACGCGAGCCAACTGGGTAGGCTGTGCCACTGATTGTAACCTGGAGCGTTGTCAGTCTCGGCCGACACGGGCTGTATCTAGATCCCGTTGATATAATAGGTGAGAGTTGTGATTGCGCATGCAATACGAGCCCCATGCTACAGTGTATCTGCCGGCGCGCGCGCGTCAAACTTTTTCATCACTACAACTCAGCAGTCACACAACAGTCCACTGATCCTTCATAAAATGCTTCTTATCTTTCATGCACCTTAACGGCTGAAAAGGTTCTCTCTTAGTGTGGGGGGCTCAATTGCCCTTGCCATGGGTGAGTACTGATTAATCCAGAACTTCAACTTTTATCACACCCGCGGAGGCTTGAAGGCTGGTGACGAGCCGCTAACCAATAGAGTACCAGGTACCTAGGGTAATCTTTATGATTAGAAAGTTACTGCATCATCGGCATGTATGATATTGCTAGCTCAGGGCCTCAGCGGTTGGATCTCCTCTGCTTGCCAAATCAAGGGAAAAATACCCTCCGGGCTCTTGAAGTTTGAACTGGCAATCACAGCTCGGTATTTCAGCTATGACCCGTCGTTGACGTCTTGAATGCAGCACATTTGAATCTGACGCTTTCCGTCGTTTAGGTGGCTTACGTTTCTACTTCACGATGCTCATAGCCGTCAGGTACTAGAAAGGCATAGCTCATTCATTAGGCTTTCTAATGGATCATTTGCGGATATTTACGAGGTGAAAAAGAAGCCTTCATATCCATTTCAATGTCTTCGATTTATTATTTTGGATTAGTCCGTCTAAGAAAATACCTGCTAGTAAGTGTTGGGTCGACGTCTAAATCTCCTCCAAACCGACATCTCTCAATGCAGGTGGCATCGTGAGAGGTCCCGAGGGGTGGCGGCATATCAAACTCAAGCCGAGTCTTTATTAACGTTCATATAGATACGGCGTGTCCATCCTTCCATGTCAACCGGAGTGGTAGGCCAAATTTAAAAAAGGGAAGCGAAAAAAAAAAGAATAGATCTTGGCCATGTATGGGAGTCGAACCCATGCCCCGTGCACTCCATTACGATGTCTAGTAGTCGCCTTCATGACTATTCCGACGTGCCCGATATTAACCATTATACTAACATGGCCACTTTGGTTTGTTGAAAAATCACCCACGAAAAGTTTCTTATATGGTCACCTAGTTGCAGACCTAGAGGACTAGCATGGAACAAACCCGAGGCCATCCCCGCAAAATCACAACACGGGCAAAAAAAAGCGTCCAGTATTAAAGCTTGTTTCCTTCCTTGTGCCTTGACGCATCTGCGCGCTCGGTTTCTCTTTGCAGTAACCCATGCACACGGTAAACCAAACGCGAGCAGCGATACAGAGCTGATGGTGAATTGATGTATGTTTTACACAAGAGCTGTCTACTCTATTTCCCCACATGAAATCAATTCGGTGCCGACTTGACTGGAGCAAGTCGTAACGAGACCTCAGTTAATCCGCTCTGAGCTTCAGCCGCACATTGATCGGACGCTTCTCTACCAGCAAAAAAGTCCTGAGGTCCTCCCACTTCAACCACTTTCCCTTGTCTTCAGGCGCTTCAAAGTCAAAGTTCCACAGCAGCCTCGCCATGATCAACCGCATTTCTGCCCACGCCAGGTTTTGGCCCATACACGAGCGCGCGCCGAGACTGAACGCTTGCATTGCCTCCCACCTATCGCCGAAGTAGGGTGATTTCTCGTCGGTACTTGCTTCAGGGAGCCAGCGCTCGGGGAGGAAGGAGTCGGCACGATGGAAGTAAGCAGGGTCTCGATTCATGGCATACGCTTGAATTGAAACGGGTGTCCCTCCGGGTAGGAAAACCCCGCAGATAGTACCTCCTTCCAAGGGAACCAGCCGGGGAAGAATCCACGGAATAGGGGTGCACAGCCTGAGCCCCTCGGAGAGGACGGCGTTGAGGTAGGGGATGTTGCGCAACGCGTCGAACGTCATGTCGCTCTCGCTCCCGGTCTTAAATCTCTTACGTACCTCATCTGCTAGGACTTTGAGCTTGTCGGGATGCTGGATAAGATAGTTCATGGTACCACTCAGCGTTGTCGCCGTGGTCTCGCTACCAGCCGTCGTGAGAATCATGAAAGTGGTGCTGATCACGTCGATGGGGAGCCCCTCCACATCCTTAATAACATGCGACATGATGTCAGGCCGTTCCATTTCGTAATTGAGGCGCCGATGCACTTTGTCGACAATTTGCTGGAAATGGTCCTGCTGCATCTTCCTTAGTGAAGGAGGGATGCACCTTCTCAGTATGTACTCGACCGCCGGATAGAAACGCGTGGCCGAGGTAAAAGCTGCCGCCTTGACACTGTTGAACAGCAGGGCAATCCACGGATGGTAGCGAGAATCCTGGAGGCAGTCAAACGGCTCCCCAAAGCCCAGATCTCCAAAGATGTCAAACGTGGCAAAGTTGAACCACGGTCCAATGTCAATCTCGGCGTGAGAGGATGACTCGGCCAGGACGGTCTCGCGAAGTCGATCAGCGAGAAGGGTTACGTAGCGCTGAATGAAGGGTTCCTGGCTCTTCAGGGCGCGTGGAGTGAAGCCAGGCGCGAGCGCCTTACGGATACGAGCGTGTTCGTCGGGCTCAATCGCACTGATCAGCGACACGGCCATCTTGGGGCCGCGTTTCCACCAGATGGGATCTTTCAGGAGTTGACCCTGTGGAGGGCGGAAAATATCGTCCCATGCCTCTGGCTGAGCAAATGTAACCTCGTTCGGGGCAATGCGCAAGACAGGGCCGTATTGGCGATGCAGCTTTTGGATGTCGTGGACAATGGTTCCCTGCAAGAGTGAGCGCACGAAGGGAAGTCGCGTCACCGACCAGATGCGGGGGCCAGGGATGTTGGACAGCGGATGGAAGTAGATGTTGTATATGGCGCGCGCAAATGGATAAGCAACCAGGAGCAACAGAACAGTGCCCAGCGGAGTCGCCAGGCTCGCCGATTGCTGTTGAGCGTCCATGACTTCCGATTTTCCGGTTCGAGCAACGTCAAGAAATTTGATCAGTGTTGTGGTAAATGATGAGAGTCGTCTGCGCTGCCGTCGATTCCTTCCAAGAGGTGTGTGAATCTCACCGGAGGAACCTTCCAGGGACAGCTGCCCCACTTACCTGTCCAATTGATGTTCGGCTTTCGTGGCTGCCGGCACCTTCCCTCCACGGAACGTCGGGTTTATCTTGCTCAGGGCGGGGAAATGTCTTTTTGTGGTCTTATATTGCTTCCTCACTGTGTTTGAGGCAGGCGCGACACCAACAGAGGCCCTGGTTGCTGCCAGGATTGGTCCGCAGTTGTTACACAGGTGCAGGACGTACTGTATTTTCTTCGCTGACACCGAGGTCCCTGGCGAGAAATGTGAAATCAGGCGGTCAACGCTGCCCTATCGCGACCCCCTTCTCCCCATTCAAAGAAAGCTTAACTAGATCCTCCTTTTAAATTAGCTACCTGCTTTGCGGATGACTCGGATGTTTTCTCGTGGTACAACGTCAAACTTACATGCATAGACGGATTGAATAATTGCTCCGCGTCCCTATTCAGGCTCCGGATGCTCCGTCTGCCCTCGAGGGTTTGGGCCAGGAACTAGTGGGACGGGACAAAGCAATGCCGTCAAGTCTAGGTATGCAATCACAGTGCAGGCTGCTAATATAATTGACATTATAAGTTGTCCTGAGAAGTTGCAATGCTATACTGTCCTAGACATCACCGTTGAGGGAGATTGTCAATGTGAGAATACGATCACAATAATCTGCTACATTCTCAGGCGAGTACGCAAATTCACGGTCCAGACCCCTCCCCGAACAAACATATTATCCGCAACGGCCGCCAGGCTTGTCTCCATCGCAGTCTTTAGCATAGCCATAGTCACAGCATCCTCCATCTTTGTTGCACTCATAGACATGGCTGATAACCCGCTTCTTCGTGATTACATAGGCTCCGTCGGACCCTGTCACAAGTTAGTTTCACTCCAAGATCGGAGATCTGCAAAGGGATGTCGATAAGGAAACCCCAAAAAAAGTCTTACATTTACAACCACCGCAGAATTGTCCCTGTGGCTTTCGGGGTCGCGATGTGTCGCACTTGCAACCGTTATAGTCGCAGCCTCGTTCCTTCAGAACACCAAACTGGGGATGCTCAGCTGGCTCAGTCAGAAGTGCCATAGCCGCAGGGGCGAGTAGGAGAACCAAGGAGAAGCGCATTTTGGCTGAAAGCTGTCGAATATGAGCGAAGTCGTGGCTCTGTGACAGACGGAAAGGTCAAGTTTGGTTGAGGACACCAGCCCGATTTGCTTTCTTTCGGTCTGGGAAAAAGACAGTTAAATAGATGAAGAGGCTGTGCGTCGTACAAAGACCGTGTAATCACCGACATCCATAAGCAAGTAGACGAGAGAATTGACAATGTTCAGCCGACGGGTAACATTGCGCCGACAGGGGGTAAGCAATAAGCTGAAAAGTCAATGGTGCAACCACAATCAATTGACTCAACAGCGAAGTGTCACCGGTGACAACACCTTTGAGAAAAATGGCAACACGGCTTCTCTTCTTACAGGGATAAAGAGGTTGACATTTTATCCATTTGGTGCTCGTACATTACGCACCTTCCAAATTTGAGCTCGTCACGCATTCGCTGCAACGTAATATAACGAAGGCGCGTTTCTGTTACTAACAGAAACGGGAAGATGACGCTTTATTCGAATTTCCAAATGCACCATGGATAAGATTTGGAGTCGAGAAGCTCGACATTAGACATCGACTCTCCACAAAGAATAAAGTTGGCCTTGAGAGATTATGAACCGCTCGGCTGTGTATCTCCAATCGGGCCGGGTCAGGAATAGGTCCGATAGCCTGATTGGAATGCAGGTGGTTCTTTTATTTGACGTCCTTTGTTTCTGCTCTATTGAGTCCGGTGAAAGATTACTGAGATCTTTGAATTACAGTTGACTACTTGAAGGATTGCCATAAACGCCAAATGCTGTTGGTGCATTGTAAGACCTGATATAACACGGGGAATCGCTGTCTCCTAATTGTGGACCAGCAAATAGTATCCCTTGTTCTTCTGGTAGTCAGAGTTCCTTGAATGCTACGCGAACACTTGGGAAAAGAGGATGCTTGCATCTACATGTCAAGGTAAGGTATGTGAGCAGAGCAACCTCGGAATTCTCAACGCAGCTCAAATCAGTGGCGGAAGACAATTATCCATGTAACTTATCGTTATTCTAGGCTCACCAACATAGAGTATTGAAATCAAAGCAGTGCGGCTACGGTAGCACAAGCAGGCACGACATCCTAAAAGATAGCTTGGACGGTGAAAGGAATTGTTGTGCCACAGTCAATCTCGTTGAAAGTGCGCAGCGCTTTACATACCAACATAACCATCAGGCGATACATGCTTGCATCCCCTTCATATTCACTTGATTTTTGACTATTCAATGGGCAGGGCCAGCGAATAAGAACCTCTTTGCTGTATTCGGACTGTGGCACGTAAGGGTCACTGGCAAAGGCTAGGATCCTCTTGGCTTTTTTTGTCCAGGGGTTGTTCGCCACATTGCGCCGCACTAACCACTTGTCGTGCATAGCCGCTCTATAAAGTCGACCTTAACCTCCGCGCGGTTATCGAATGCCGACTAGTTAGAACCTGAGCCTCGTTGACGATGTCACCTTGGAGAGCCCCAACGCCAACAGCCAAGACTGAGGTTACGCCGTCTAATAATCGATCCTGGTCAGTGGTAAGCTGTAGTGTTATTTTCGGATGAGGCCCAACATGAAGATTTTGACTTCACATAGCAGCAGCAAGGTGTAAACTACTCCTAGATTATGGGACACAAACAAGTCGGGTCTGCACTGCTACAGTCTGAGAGTACTTGTAGGAATCAATGAGCCGTAAGTTCACTCGCTTTTAACGTCCGCCACCATTCACTTTATGCTTTTTGGGGGCGACGATCTTTGAACCAGCGTCTTTGATCAGCTCATGGGAATATGTGGTGATGCTTTTCCAGCTAGAAAGTGTGACTAAGTGCAACAACAAGCACAGCAGCACCAACACGCACCAACATCAAATGTGGCACCGACATATACCTTAATAGCGCCCCTTCGATC